AGACTCGGGCTCGTACAATTACTATTTTCTACTAAAACCACTTGTTCTTGCGAATCAACATTACTAAGGACCCCTAAATCTTGCGCATCTTGGAGAGTAAGTGATCCTCCTCCCTGTAATCGGCGCTTTTTCGTACGACGACGCCGACTAAGTTGATCATTTGCTGTACGAAGTGTAGCATTCTCAGCTCGTAATAAAGCTACCTCAGTGATTGCACGCTGTGCACCCTTTGCAAGCTGGTCTAGGCCATATAGAATCTGGGTCGGAGAACTATCTTGGTGTCGTACGACCTTGTTTTGTATATATGACGTCTGGGAATATGCCTCTGTTATGTTATTTGGGGTCTTTGGTTCCCAAATAGCTAGGAGGCTTGTTGAGGTAGATGGACGTGACGGAGTCCTTGAACGAATATGAAGCTGTGAAATCACAGAATCTGGGTCGTACGGCACTAAGCCAGATCCTCGAAATCCTCCTCGAATGTTTGATTCAGTCCTTGTCGTACGAAAGGCAGTATAGAATGTTGATAAGAAATCCTCCTTAGAAACATATGTCATGTGGAGTCGCATTAATTTCTCAAGTTCAGCACCGTACGACCTTTTTAACGCTCGAAAACATCCTACATCGAGTGGCTGGAGTCTATGAGAGGAATGAGCTGGCATGCAAAGAGTAATAATGTAATTACTCTTACAAAAAGCCTCAAAATCGACTGAGTGGTGGCTTTCATGGCCGTCAAGCACAAGCAGCTGGTGAATGCCCTTCGTACGAAGCTTTGTATGCCGATCGAAATGAAAAATCCAATCTAGGGCTCGCTCATTTGTTGTCCAGCCATTTGTAGTTACAGCAATTACCCAGTCGCGTGGTAATTGGCTGTTTTCGTACCAGGAGGAGAGGTGGTTCTTCCCCGCCAAAATGATATATGGAGGCACTACAAAGCCGTACGACCCAACACCTTGAATTACTGTTGCCCATTCCCGGTTTCCTTGCTGTACTGTACGAGGCCGAGAAAGCCTTTCGGTACTTGTAACAACCATTTCTGATGTAATTTGGCCCATACAAAACCCAGTCTCGTCAAAGTTATAAATATCCTCCTCCTGAATCCCTTCAAGCTCCAGGAGAGACGAAGGTTCTATATAAGACTGGCACTTTGGCCATTAGATAGGAGCTTCGTGCTCAACTTAGTTATCAATCTTATCATATTAGTTTGACATCTTTGATACAAGTAACGAGTTCACTTCCAAGTGAACAACCCGAAAGTCTTCTTCTTATCATAGCATACCAACCAGCGAACACCCAGCCAAGTTTAGTTAGCCAGTTTGAGTATTCGTTACACTTACTAACCCTTCATCCTCATTCACTATAAATCCTGCCATAACGAAATAGGTTAACTTTAGTAAAGCTAGTATACCTTGTTCCCTAGGGACCTATAGACAAGGAGTTATAAAACTTACCAAGTCTAATGTCTTTTAAGAGTCCTTATCTAAATCCATACTTAGTATAATACATTGTTACGATAACCGTATTTTGGGTCTGAGAATAATATTCAAATCATCTATTTTTACGTTGATTTTACGTAAGTCTCTTGTAACGACAGTATACTCACTCGTTCGCCATTTGTGGACGAGAATGGACCTTCATTAGAAATCAGATCAGGTTTTGTCTAACACTAGATCAAAAATAGAGGAAAAGTCAGAGCCTTAGGTGTCATATGGAAATTCTCATATCTCTATCTCTACAAAATATGTATTCTATTAAGGAAACAGCGAAAAGGAGTGTCAGTACACCAAAATAAACTCCCTCGCGCCTTTTCCGTACCATAATGTGGCTTCTTTCCACCACAATCAGGCATACTCTCATTATTCATTACACAACTCCCATCGCAAGTAATCGCCAAACACCACGCATCACTCATCTCCTATCACTCCACCCTTATCACTCAATCCTTACCACTCAACCCCATCATTCCAAGTCACTACGCCCATTCCAATTGTTCATTCGCTCTACTCATATGAGACTTCAAATCCTGCGTCAACAAAGCCTTCGCAATCTCCGCCTCTACTAGCTTCAACAATTCCAATCGGAGGTTATGAAACGACTTATACACCGCCCGATAATAATACCGATAAGCACTATTGAACATCCGCTGTAGTACCTGCGAGACTCGAAGAAAGGTTCGCTTAAGAGTCCCATTTAGCATTCCAGTTTCCAAAGGCTTCATTGCTTCCTTGAAAAGATCACTAACAAAACCCGCTTCATTGAGGACTACGCCGTAAAGACCTTCATCACTCTGGTCCTCCGCCTCCTCCCAATCCAGTTGTCGGATGTACGTTACAATTCGATCGATGAACTTCACGATCGCGTCTTTTGCTGCACCACGCGCTACTCTCATATTGTCTGTGAATGTAGTCAGCTACAAGGCCATCAAAAGGATACAGAATATTCTTGAGCTTACCCTGAAGACCTGGTGGAAGCAAATGAAGAGCGAGTTCTCCACCGACGTGTTTCGATGAGAAGAACAATGTCTCATTACTCTCAATAGTAATATGCATCACGATGGTAGAAGAAATATTAATAAACTCCTGCTCCTGCCCAAATAAATAGGCGATAAATAACGTCTTTTCAAGACCCTGATTGATCCATTTCGGAATGTTGTCCCAGATTTCGGCGAGCCAAATTGATATGTATGGCTTTACCAAGTCAAGAACTTGATATTGTTCGACGAGTCCGGCGATGTGGAATAAAGTTTCTCGACTTAGCGCCTTTGGAATGGTCTTGATTCTATGATGTGCGATCTTGAGGAGTATTAAGAGAGCCTATGGTAGTAGGTTAGCCACTGTTCATGTAATAGAAAAGAGTAAAGTAAGATCTTACCTCTGGATCATCATCTGTAAAGTCTACCGTCGCGATAATCTCCCGTTGGATGTTTTTCTTCTTGCGAGCACTGAAGTTTGTGCCATCGTCTTTTGTTGAGATTGTAGAAGCTCCAGTAGACGATTTCTCGCTGGACGAGTTGATGTGTGGAAATGGTGGATAGATGAACTTTTCCCATATTTCGCTGGCGAGGCACAATACCTGAGATTATACCAAACCACGGATCACTGTGTCGCCTTCGCCCTTGACCAGAATCTCAACGTCCCCGCCGCGGAAACAGAACTCTTCCTTCTGGATGGAGAACATGATTCTGATATGGATACACTAAGCGATGATAGTGTCGTTGAGAGTCTAGTAGTGTTGCTATGATACAGGACAAGGTCGTAAGTTCTGTGCTTTATAGCGTCTAATACCTTCTCCTGGTACAAGCTTGTTTTGGTCTAAGTTGCGACTGGAAATTCTCCGAGATATGGTGTCTTGTAAGGGTGTTGTTTAGTTTTGTCTAATTCTAAAGCCCAAGAAACAGGTGTTTTATGACTTAGAATGTCGCAGCAGATGCGGGCCAGGCGCGAAAGGTGCGCTGCTAGGCCATACGAATCACAAGGTCCTTCACTATACCATTCTTCAATAAACAGGTGGAGAATGTCAGAATGTCAAAAAGGGGGGTGGCCTCAAGTGAAATAAGCGACAAAGAATCACATCTAGTCCACTGGGAAGCGAAAACTTGGGGTGATTTAGAAGGTTTATAGTTGGTGGCTGGAAGACCCTGTTATAATATTTGCCAGTTGAAAGTGAAGACAAATTTGTCAACTAGTGAAGTTTATGGACTGAAAAGTACAAGACAAAACATTAAACCAGTAGAATTAGACAAGAAGAACAAGGCTTTAGTGGTGTACTTTAGAATGAATGAATCTCCTTCAGAAAAATAATCATTAATTCTGCTTTGGTAAAAGTTGAGTTTTGATCAAGGTGGCTTACAAACTGCGTTTCCAGTAGAGTAGTGAATTTGTTTGTGGCTAGCGTAAAACCAGCCAGTGCCATCGAATATCCAATGTCACAGCTAGCATTTACCATGAATCTTAATTCCAATCCTCACACTCCTATCTAGCACTTTGGCACTGCTTTGTACATTATCAGCTCAGTGAGAAAGTGTGAACCTACGATATCAAACGTCGCTTATCAAGTGGTCAGAAAACAATGCCACTGGAATTCTCCTCTGAAGGGATGACATTGTATAACCAAGGTTAGACTGGATCCTGAGTCATATTTCAATAGTTCAATTCTAAAGAATCAGCGTATGTTTAGCCCAAGTTCTCCAGGAATCTGTTGCTCTAAATCCAGCGATACTGGGAATGATTCAAGTATGTTGAGATATTCCTCAAAATAGGAATCCACCCCAAGATTGTGACATATCATCCATCAGTAACAAGCCTTCTGCACGGCTGCTCAAAGTCTTGTAATCCTTCGCCAATTCTTCAACCCCGCCCATCGTGATCCCGCCCTACAACTAAGATAACTCGAGCGAAAACCCATGACCGGGAGCCTTTTTAACCAGCCGAACTATCTCCCTTCCAAGCACCATACGCGCCTCTTCAAAAACCGGCTCCAACTCCAGCTTACGACACTCTTCATACCGGTACTCGTAATAGCTGTTTGGTTTAAGTTCCTCTCTCGCAAAAGCAAGTTTTGAAAGTATCATCTCAAAAGGACCTTGGAAGGCAGCAACACGACTTAAAGGCCAAAAGCGCTGTTTAGCAAGGCCAGTGACCAGAACCGAGAAGACCAGAAAGTCACAGCTCTTGTCGCCTCGGGTACACTCGAGAGTCTCAGAATCGCGAAGGAGCTTTAACTGGTTCTCTATACGGTCAACGATGAAGTTTAGAGCTGCAGTCCGGGCATCCATTATACTACCTATGTTCAAGAAAATCAGTCAGAAAACTGAATTGTGGAATCTAGGAGTTGCGTGGGTACTACAGTACTTTGAATACCTGGCGGCATAAGTTCGATATCCAGGTCGAAGAATCCCGATTCACTGGCCCGAAGCAATTTGGAGTCAATGACATAGAGGGTCGTTGAAAGATACACAGCCTGAGCCGTGAAGGTCTCCATATTTCCAAATACCTAGGAGATGAATAGGTAGCCTTCCTGATACCGCGGTTTCTTCCAGCCCTCCATTTTTGGGTCAATCCATTTCTTCGCGTAAGGGGTGATTAAGCTAGCGCAGGCATACTTTCGACAAGTATGTGCGAGAGCGAGAAGCAAGTCGTAGTTATGTATTCCTTGTGGGATATTGTTGTACCGATGATGCGCAAGGGCGAATAGCTGTGAAGTAGGAGATAGTCAGGCCACGCTCGCTTATCAGCGTATCAGGATGAGGGAGGGAGTTGACTATGGAAATTCATCCTTACTATTTGAAGTGAGTCGCAATCGTCTAAAGTCTAGTGGGCCGGTATTCATCATAGACTGGGTTGAATTGGATCCCGTCGAGGTCGATGCATAAGAGGATGATGTGATACGTGGAAACTGCCTGCTCCCAAGATATTGGGGTCAATCAAGATTTTGTGGATTGTCAGGAGTTACCAATTGGTAAGAACAGCTCTAAAACGATGGAACAGTTAGAAATGATAGTCTAGGGGACGTACGGAAAGATGAACTTCCTCCAGACCTCGCTCGAGAGACACAATGCCTGAGAGGAGACGAGACCACCAACAATAGCGTTTGACCTCTTGACCTTGACCTTTATCGGAATGTCCCCACCTTCAAAGGTAAAGTCTTTGCTGGTAGATGTCATGATGACAATAATGTAGTAAGAGTAGTCCAGAAAATAGGAAGAGGGGAATATGCATGAAATGGTTGATAAAGAACTCGAATAGTTGACTACCCTTGACATAATTTCAAATCTCAAACGAGGCTAAAGGCATGTTTATGTCATATATTAAATCGTATGACTGTGACGCTACGTAAGAGGGGTAGTCAAGTAAAGCGAGAACCTGGATGGGTATCATAAGGTGAATCATAATTTGCTCCCAAGTCCGCTTATCCCCGAACAACGAGCGGTGTTTGTTTGCGCTCTTTAGAGTCTCCCGGTACAACTCCAACTATATGTGTGGTCTCTAACGCAGTTCTTGAACTTCCACCAAAGCTTTCAGGCCGAGGAATTCAATATCATCTATACCAACCGCCATCTCTTCTCGTCGCAAATCAAGCTGTCGGACAGAGTACTGACTCTGCGTTGGAAAGACCGTGCACAACGCGATATAAACGACAATGGAGACATTAAACAACAAAAGCCAACTGAGGTAGCCCAGTTTCTTTGCAATCGGGGAAACATTGGCTCCAAGATTACCACAAAATCCTGGAAAGCCAATACCCCAGCCAGCAATATATGCGATGTACGCTTGTATATTCCATCCCCGCGTATAATGATATCTTGGATTGCTTCTCTTCCCATCATACAAGTGCTCAATGAACAGATTCCCTCTAGTAAGTCCATAGTCCGCAATCATAACACCCGTCAAGCCTCCCATAAAGATTCCATATCCACTGAGAAATCTGGTAAAAGTAGTAGCCGAAGCATAGATATTCCAGGGACACATTGACCGAGCCAGAAACAAGCCAAGAATCCGACCACGTCGCATGTTCATGTAACGAGGGAGCAACATTGCAAGGTCGCTTCCCAATGGAATCATATTTGCTGCAATGTTTGTTCCTAACACCAGCACCGCCCAGAACAATGCGCATAAGAAGACTACAAAGCGTGCCCCGGAGCTTGAATAACGATCGAGAATAGCAGTGAGAAGATCCCATTGATTCCATAGCTTTAGTCCCCACGCGTTATTGATAGCGGCAGTTGATATAATGCCAAAAGCCGCAGATATTGTGACTGATAGCGGCCAAAATACTAATTCAGTCCAGACTGAGGACCAACAGGTTTTCGCCCAATGTGAATAACCAGGCTGGTTGGTGATGAGTGTTGAATGGACACCGAGACACGACTTGATGGCGTACATGAAGAGCCACGCAGTGCTGTCGAAAGGTAATCCAGAAGCCAGTCTATTTGCTCCAACCCTACCACCAGTATCGACCATGCAGAATGTGAACAAACCGACCATGGCTGGTACCATCGTACACATCTTCAACGTAAAAAGCCACTTCACCTGGTTGGATCGCAAAAATACGAATGGAATGTGGCATAGCCAGTACAGAAAAAAAGCAAGCTTTTGCTGTGTTGTAAACCCGAAGGATTGGGGAAGGCTATTTGGAATGGATGTGAAAGCCTTTCCAAAAATAGCGTGAAGCATATTAACGACAAACAAAGATGCAGCATACACTGCGATGGCATTTTAGCGTTCGTCTACAATTGAATCCGACACTTTCTACTTACTCTTCAAAGAGTAATATATCGCAGCCAGTACAGCCCTTGCACCGACAGCATAAAAGCTTCCGTAAATTCCAAACACAGAGCATGCAACACCTGGAAATCCAATATGGTATACCTCAGCGCATCTTGAGTTGAGAGCTGAAGCAGCGGCCCCAATGAATCGAGCAATGAAGATTCCGATGATGGCTTGCCACCAAATCATGCCAAAACCGATCAATGCTGAGCCAAATGTCCAATTATCCATGGCAAGACTGCTGTAGAAAAACATATAGTTCAATGTTTTCCATGTGCGTTTTTCGCTCGGCGTGGGTAACAGATCTACGACACTATCAGCTTGCTACTTTGCGCAAGATCCGGAGCAGGTGTACCCTCATTCATCCAAGACCAAGTACCCAAGGTATCGCTATCGCGGGTTTGTAGGAATTCCTTCATAGAATTCCTGCTTCTTGTGGCCTGCTTCATGGCACGAAAATTCGAAATTATCGAGCAACCAATTCGGGCAGGGGACAATGACGTAACGATCATGCTTCAGACTTTGAAGATAGTAAGAGGAAACAACTCAATTTTCTAGATAGGAAAGAACTATAGATGAAAAGGAGGAATGAGCATGGAGGCCAAAAGTCCTCTATAAAGGTGGGAGATGTTAGTGTAGATTGTTAACCTACATAGCAACCTCCTAAGACGCCTCCTTCTTGCCCATTAGAGTAATTATCGGAACAGAACCCGACCGCGTTATCTGCTTTAGACAAGTTTCTGAGAGATAGCTTTATCATTCGTAACGCCGGAGGGTCAGCGCTAGGAGTAAAAGAAATGGAGTACCCCGAAGATGGGGTGATGAATCCACATTCTTCTCGATGCAGATGGTGCGACGGTACTGTAGAGTTCAGGGACCTCCACAGCAAAATCATATTGCTGGTGGATTAGACGTATTTGACTCTTCAACCTTCCAAACCCCGACTTAAACTCCATTGCTTAAAGCTTCAAACTACAAACCTCTGAACCAAATAAAATAAAATGCACCACCTCACATCCTACCTTCACCACCTCATCCTTGCCAAAAATTCCAACCTGTGCGTCAGCGCCGACATAACAACAGTGCAGGCAATGCTCTCGTTAGCAGAAGAAGTCGGTCCCAACATCGTAGTATTCAAGACCCATGCAGACATTCTCTCCGGCTGGGATCTCGATCCACACACACACCGGCACAGGCGCCAAACTTGCAGCAATCGCTCATCGGCATCGGTTTTTGATCTTCGAAGACAGAAAGTTCGCGGACATCGGATTCACTGTTCAACTCCAATATGCCGGTGGAGATTACAGGATCGTGGAATGGGCACATATCATCAATGCTCATGTTCTACCTGGACCTGATGTTGTTCGGGCTTTGAAGGAAACAGCCGATTCTTGGAAGGACTCAGGGAGAAGTGGGATTGTTGGGGGTATTGTTCCAGAACCAAGCGTGGCTCATATCGCGGAGCCTCCATCTCAGTGCGCGGCTCTGCTTCTCGCTCAGATGAGCAGTTCCGGGAATTTCTTAGATGCCGCTTATACCAAGAATTGCGTTTCCATTGGGAGGAAGTATCGAGATTTCGTGATGGGGTTCATTGCTTTGGAGCCGCAAAATAGCGAGCCTGATGATTCGTTTATCGTTATGACCCCAGGGTGCTCTTTAACACCGGAAGAGTCTCTTGACAGATCTGAATTCGTGCCTGGTGCGAACGATGCCCTTGGGCAGCAACACGTATCGCCGCAGGAGCTCATTCTTCGAGGCTGTGATATTATCATTGTTGGAACATAAATATGCAATGCTAAAGACCCTAGAACAAAAGCGGAACAACATCAAAGGGTTGCGTGGCAGGCATACGAGGAACGGATACTTACTGAATAGATATGAAGCTCCTGCCCAATCATCCCGAACCGAGACCTCTGTCCTTGGAAGAAATGTGATGTTGAATCTAGTCGCAAAAGTCTATATATATATATATTTAGCACATACCAGCAGGACACAAAACCTTCGTCCCGTAAATGTCTCCGGAAAGTCCTAAGATCTGAAGTACAGCGTTGACCACACCACCAATACCCTCTCCTGCCATAAAGCCCGCAGCTACTCCATACCCATAGCAACCAAAACCCCTTGGGTTTCTCTTGTTCCAAACCCATCCCAGAATCGCACCCATCAGCATCGCCAAACCGTAAACAGTTGCTGGTATAATGAAAGCAAGCGCAACAACCATCATGTTCGGATGATATGCTCTCATCCATTCACGTTTACCAGTCCACAGATTGTGTCTGACAAGCACCATGACAGCTCCGAAGAGGACAAAAAGGATAGAAAATGTTCGACTTGTGGCCGGAATAGGGATTTCTGGATCCGTCACGGCGATGGCAACAGCTCGCCAGGCGGAAACCGAGGGGATGTCGAAGGCACAATTTTGTGCGTTCGCATCGTTGATGCAGGGGTAGGCAATGGAGAACAGGACGTAGGTTGCTGGAGCAAGAAAGATAGCGAAGATTGTCCCTATTGCTTGGCCGAACCATTGCAGGCGAGGTGAGGTTTGAAGAAGAAATCCAACTCTGAAGTCGCCTACAAGATCTGTGGGGTTGTTAATATCTGCGTGTACTGAACTTTATGTTTTACGCACCCGCAGCTTGGCCTGCCCCTATGCTGGCAAGAGCTCCTCCCAAAAGGTTCATCCGTTGCATATCGGGTACCGACCACCCTTGGTTTTTAGTCGCCGCTCCCAGTACTATTTGTGATGCCTTCGAGGCCGCGGTCAGCGGTGTGATGTCTGACTCAGTTAATACATATCAAATGCTGCGTTGGAACAAATTCCAGCTTACCGGTGGCACCAGTCGATTGAATAGCTAAGAACGAAAAGAACGCTGTTAGGAAGAGAGCCAGAAGTGTTTCCTTGACCGGCATGCCGTACTGAACACTCATTACTAGACACGATAATGCCACTGCCGACAATAAGCCAGGGAGCCACATCCACATGGGCACAAGGTCGGTTTCGCCTCCAATTTCTTTTTCTTTCCGACTGGCATCTGAATCCATTCGATCGACAGGTCGCCTTGCATTGCCCGTTCGTAGGATCCCAACAAGACGTGTAACTACTCTCCAGATGACCTTTCCTGTGAGCCAAAAGATTCGCCATTGACATAAAAGCTCGGTAAAAGATACTACAACCATTCCCAAAACTCCAGGCCAAAGAAGCCAGTACCTTGGACTTGGGTGACTTGCTGTGGTAAACTCCCCTGAAAGAGAGCTATACTTCATGAAGCTGTCCCATTTCGGATCTTTGGATGCCAGGCGACCAAATGCAATATTATGCTGAACCAGCAAAGGACCAATGATGCCCCTATAGTTGTTAGTTGCTTAAGCTACCGAAACGCAGATGTTAATAACAAGGAGGCACGAACCAGGCCAAAATACTGCCCATGTAGTATGAGACAGAAACATTGATGCCAGCAAGCATTCCACTTCCCATGAATGCTGGAGACAATTCAATCAGCCAACCCCAACTTTCAATCGTCATCATAGACTTCCAACTCCCTCCGCTGAGGAGAAACAGCCATGTAAATGGATGCCAGTCCTAGATGTGGATTAATTATGTACCTGTAAAAGCCAAAAGTCGAGTCTTACCCATAAAATCCCCATCGCATATTGAGAAAAGACTCTCATGCTGGCTGCCGCAACAAATGCCCAGCTCAGCGCTCTCATTTTACTTAATGCCAAAGTACCTCCTTCCATAGCATTGTGCATAGAACGAATCGTGATAGCAGTAGCAGCTGATGAAGGAAATACCAAATGTAGCTCTTCAGCCACGTAAATGATGAAGAACTTCCGTACTATTACATGAGTCAAAATAATCCCTCCGAGAGATTTTTTCTTTTGATTAACTCACAAGGGGTGGCAAAAAAGATCCCAAAGAACCCACCAACAGCAGTCAGGGTAATGATCCTCCAATAATCTGATTGCGGATTATTCAGTAATCCGAGCTGATACATAGCAGGAAAAGCAGACGTGAAAACACCACTCATGCCACCCGCAGAAGTAGCTACAGTTTGCACAATATTATTCTCCCTCGCTCCAAAATCATTTCCCAACCATGGAACATGATGAAAGTACCTGGCTGTGAATTTCAACACCGCAAAACCAACGATAGACTAGAGAATTCTTAGATTTCAGCATTTCGAAAACTGAAGAAAAACATACCGCGAAAATGTTGGCAGAGGCAGTCCACCCAGATTTCAGCCCTAAATAGATATTACTAGCATTCACCAAACCCCCACACAGCAACCCCACCAAGATCGCCCTCAGCGTGAGGATATTCCGATTCTCTTCCGGAAGATCGTCAAATGGTACAAAGGGATTTTTAGAGAATTGATCAAGGAATTCGTCATCTTGCGGTGGTCCCTCGATATCCGAGAGCGTTTCAGAAAACAGCGTGTCCTCTAAGCCTAGTTCCCCGGGCTCTGAGTCTGGGTCTGAGTCTGATTGAGCATGCTGGTTTTTGGATAGTAAAGGTCTGTTCTGGGATGTTAGAGACGTTCAAACGAGAAAAGAAAGAGTGACAAACGCTTCAGTCTCATCACTGGGTGCGGCCATGCTGGCCATCTCGTAGGAGGGATGCATCGCTGATCATGGAGGACTGGTTGCCACGGTTTTTGTGCTACTTTATCTTTGGGTGTAAGTTCACGAACACAATTTTCAAGCGCTAAACTAGAAGAAGATTGATAGAGGTGTATGACATTTCAATTAGGATGTCCTACTATTCAAGGGGGTTCTGGGGTTGGGACTGAAGACGTCAAAGAGAGCAAGGTTTCCGAAGAATACCCGGGCCGGTTATCAGCTCTCCAAGTTCGAGGCTCGGCGTTGCTAGCTGTGATAGTGTAAATATGAAATTGTAGAATATAGGAATTATTACCTCCTGATTCTGCTTGAGTATCAAATGGCTGTTAATGGCTGCAAATGACTTATGTTTTTGTTCAAGGAATCCTAACTTCGTTGTCTACCATCTACTGTAAGCAAAAGCTATTATCTCTCAATAACTTAAAGACTTTTAATAGTAATCTAGTCTACTTATTAGTTTATACAAAGCAATACAGAGTCTCACTGACTCAACGTGAACATTATATATTCACTACCACCTGGTGCCACCTCAATCTTTCACACCTCCACCTACCTCGCCCTCTCGCTCTTTTACCCTCGCTCTCTACCCCCCACATCCCCGTCTCCGCCTCTCCTCCTCTCCAGAAAACAAAGTCCAAGCAAAACTAAAAACGCCCTTAAAAGATTAAGGGAATCCTCACCCTCATAGAAGGCGGCCTCGGACAATAAACCAGACGAACTGAGTTTTTTGCGATTTGACTAGTCCCAGCAAAGCTCTCACTTATTCACCATTACGCTACGCAGGCACGTACCGGACCACTTGGGCTAAATCATTTTACTTGAGGCTATGAATGCGAGAGGAGGTGAATGTAGTGAATGCTATTTTTAGGGAACGAGACAGACGATCAATCTTAAGTCACGTTGGCGTATTTTTACAGACTTAAATCAATTGCCCCGAGTGAAATCGTGAAATTGAATTTTATAAGTGACATCCCTTACCACAGCCCCGTCCTCGACATGTTCTTGTGGTCATTAAATTTGACCCGTTTAGATAACGTTAACAAGCTAGATCATTAACCCCTCCAAGCAAATTCAACCAATGTTTGAAATGTTGAATAACCTCTCATAGATACTATTTACTTGTAGGATAACGAAGACCATAATTTCTGCATACTTGTTTACCTATTAACGTTAATTGCACAATTACTATAAAGGAAATCTATATATACGCGTTTCTCGCCTTTCATACTTATATTTAGATGACTAACCAATGACGACAGCTCATCCAGTATATTTTTCACAAACTTCTTAGTCCTCACAAAGCTTGCTAACCAAAAGTTTCTTTCTATTTAGGAGGCCATGAAAATAGCGCGTTTACTTTACTTAAGAGAAGCGAGACGGGAAATTCACACGACTTCACGTGCATTGAATCTTTTTACTAGATTGTAACTACATGATACACATTATATCATCGGAAAATATTCAACGACAGAACGCCGATTCTGTCCTAATTCTATGAGCTTGCCTCTTTCATTCGATCACATGAGGATTTCGAAATTCTGTTTTGTCATGTGATCTACCCCCTTTCTAGAGCCGAGGGAGCTTTGAACAATTTAGGATTAGCCGAATCTTTGGTCAAGAAGACGTCCAATCTAAGAATTGGGTCTCGGATCATTGCTCAATAGCATTACGACGAAAATGATGATTACCAAAATTTGAATACCGGCCGCGGTACCAGTCGGCCATTTTTGATACGCTTTCAATATCTGGCTATCAGGAGCCCCTCCAAGTGGTGATTCTCTCTTCAAACGAGAAGGGCAATACATTTACCTATAGTATTCCGCACGCCTTCAAAACTCCATTTCTTTCCATGCATTATACCCCAATTGCTCCCAAACTCCACACCAACACTCACCAAACCATCTCCTTCCCCCTCAATCTCGCCCCAAACCCCCACAAAATACCGGAGCCAGTCCACCAAGCCCCAAGAAAACACCCGCCAAAATAGTATTCCCCAATCAATATCCCAACCTGCCATACATCCCCAGCGAAAAAACAGGAAGAATAAAAGCGAGGATACTCCTCAGCGTCTGCGACGCCACAGGCTGAAGCGTTGTATGTTGGATACGCATACATAATACACGCTTGCATGGCCTGCGTTCCCATGATGGAGCAGCAGGAAAAGAGACTTGCTCCTCTTTCTGTTGCTATCCACTGTGGAGGATAAGTAGTAAGGTATTTGAAATCTTGGTTGTGGGGGTGGGAAGGCGGGGGATGGTGGATCTCGGTTATGATGGCGACAAGATGTTAGTCAATAGAGCCTTACATATACCTTATACTCCGCTCAGTCATACAAGTACAAGCCGATTGTGATAAACACACACACAGGAACCATAAGCGGAACGCGATATTCAGGTGTCGTAACACCACCAGCGCGGTTCTTAAGATACGCCCAAAGACGATCCATCATAGGCGCGCCGACTTGTGCGGCATGGGTATTTCCTATCGCAATAGCGATATAATGAAGACCGCTAGAGCGCACAATCTGATCGTACTGGGTGATATGAGGGAAGCGGAGGTGGATAGTATGATATTCTGAAGTTGTAGGCTAGGAATATAGATAGTAGTTGGTGAATGGGCTGAGAAATGAGAAGGGGGAGGGGCGGGAGAAACTGGTTCTCAGCCTTTGAGAGAGTTTGGGGTTTGCTTTTTCGAATTCGGTGGTGTAATTTGGATTTCCGGTTGATTCTCATAGTTTTTTAACTTTGAGTTATAGAATCTTAAAGGGGGAACATTAGTTGAAGATGAGTGACCAACGAAAATGAGAAGAGCATCGAATATCGAGACCTGCGCAAGCTTACCGCATAAGTCAGAACATCACAGATATTTGAAAGTGAAGAGTCTTACAGTCCAAAACAACCATCTTCATGATGCAGACTCTGTAATTACACCCGCAACAATAGGCCCAACAGCAAGTCCAAGGAACGGAACAAACCTCCCACTCGCAAAAGACAATCCCCGTTCTTCACCCCTCCAAAGATCATTCAGCACCGGATACGCAATCTACATCATCTAATCATTGACACCTAATAGCCAGCAACCACACACCCACCACAAACTCAACACTAGCACCCACCCCTGCAAGACACCTCGCAACAACCATCACTTATTTCCTACCCGCAACCAACCACCGTATTCCACACCTCATAAAAGCGCTACAAACCAACCAAACGGGTCTCTCCCAAGCACCTCGCTGAGAGGAGCTAACAGAAGTGGTCCAAAGGCAAAACTCAAAACGAAGATTGAGAGAGCGAAACTAGTTTCAGAAATGGAGGTTTTGAGGTCCTCGCTTATCACGTGGAGGGCTGGGGCCATCATTGCGCCGGAGATGAGGGTGACGAGGCCGCCGCAGCTGGTTAGGAGGGTGAGGCTTCATTTTGGGGATGGAGGCCAATTTAGGGAGTTTTCTGGGTCGTGAGGGCTGTTGAATGTTACCTAAGAGATCAAAGATTTGCAAATTTGGAGGCAAAAAGTCCCAGAAAGTCCCCAAAAAGATATTTCCCCAGATCCCACTCCTAGAAGTTAGTAAGGTGCAGAGTGCCGCCAGGAATACTGTGTTTCAAGTAGCCGGACCTGCGTTGGCTAATAAACAACCCCCTGTTTCCCACGATAAGTCTGTGGATATGCAAACATGACGTTTACGACTCATCAACTTGTGCCTAAGGCGATGGTGGTTGTGCTACTTTAGGGTATAAAGGTGTTGTTTTGGTTTGGGTGCCGGGGTTTAGCCTGTTGGCATCGCTGTTTTGGTATGTCCGCCGCCGCCCCCCTCAGCAGAGAACCCGGTCAGGATTCTTCCAAGGGAGGTCTTCAAATTTGTTACCACAACCGACAATCACGCCCCCGATTATTGCTTTCATGTGGATGTCAGGCTGCTGGTCTCGAGCTGCTAGGACACGATACAGTACCAGACCTCACTGCCATGGAAAAGTATCGTGTGGATGATTGCGGCAGGAAGTGCAGCGAACGAAAGTACATAATTCAACGCGAATGTGGGGACAAGAAACACGGGGGAGCACTTTTTGTATTTTTGGATATCTAGAGTGTGCTGCGTCGGGACATCAGGGCATCGATGGATGTGAGATGTTGTGATCGTAAGACGAATGCTGACGGGATGGAATAAATAGGTCGAGGTTTTGGTGACTTACGAGATAGGGGTCTATTTCTTCTGCTTCTGCCTCTTGTAAAGTATCGGTGACAAGATCGTTTATGGACCTTGGTGAATGTGTAATTGGGTTTGTTGGGAGCGAGGTGGTCTCGGATTCCATCTTTTCTAGATCTGTACGGAGGTATGCTGCCCTAGTTCAGACATGACAAAAGAATTTTGACTCGTCAACATTGCAAGAGAAATATTCATCAAGTCGGAACCGAGGAAAGAATTAAAATAAATCCATATTCAAATACCTCGTTGTTGTATATAAATACATGTCAATAACTCCTGGAGGGCCGTACTTGGAGCGACTCGCTTAAGCTTAGCGAGGGCCAACTCCGTATCCGCACTTTATATACAATCTAGTCTAGTCCGCATACTTGCGTACACAAGAGTACTCGTGCATCTTTCATATTTATCTTATAGTACGCGTATACTACTCTATATATATTTATAAATAATCCACCTACTGTAATAACTACGAGCCGTAATATTCTTACTATAATATATTCTATCGTTATTAGTTATCCCGTACTTATAACGTAGACCCACTTGTTTAAGTACCTTAAGTATCCTAATACTTCTACTACTTTAGTATATATAATAATTCATTTTAAACCATAGTATAATGGTTTATACTTAATTAATTTATTACTTTTAACCTAATATTATAGATATATCTATACTAAGAGTTCTTTATTGAACCCACTTCTAACAACCGCTCTTTGTGAGGGTTGGAACCCATGATGGAGGCTCGGGCCATGCCCTCGCTAAGCACTGACCAAAGTCCCCGCTCAGCATTGGCCATTGCTCCACTGCTAAATTGGTTTCTCCTTTTCTACACTTTTCTACTCTATTCTTTTGACGTCACGTATTTGTCAAACAGTTTCTTGGAAGACTCCAGAAACTCTTCCTCTCTCTATATATAGAGGAAGAGATTGCATGTATGTAGTCTTCACGCACTTCTTAATTGAATATTCGAAACCACACCTTTGAGCTATTCGAGGTCTGGCCTCTCACACTCTTACTCCTTAAACCCCTAACTATAATAACAACCCCCCTCCCCTAAAACTCTAAAACAACAACCAAATAAACACCCTCACCTCAAAAAATGAAACCCTTAACTCCCTAACCCAAGAATCCCATTAAAACCAAAAAACCAATCCGGTAATAACTCCTTCTCTAACCCAAGATAAAACCCTCAAGAGGCCCTCAAGAGGGATAAGAAGACAAGGAAAGACTATCCTACTATACTTACTATACTTAACTTAAGTCTATAAAGGAATGCCTACAAGAAGCAAAAACAATGGAATAGAATAGAGTATTTGCTATTTGTTGTTATTAGATAGATAGGTTTAGGAAATAACTTGGTATACCGCTTCCCCACGTCCCGTAACGCAGCCCACCGAGTCCCGATTGAACATCAAACACCGTAACTCTTCTCGAGTCTCGACGTGATATACTAAATTCATATCTTGTTCTAGAATGTGTGATTATCTCTGCCTTTTTCGTTCTTAAGGGGCGGAGATGAGTTGTGCGGAGGAAGGGTTTTCGATAATCCTTTTGCTTGTTTGTAGATGAAATGGAGAAGACGACTTTGGATAGTGATCGCAATTAACTTGAAGAACCCAGGATACAAACTATACCGTCTCCCTGATAGTACTACGGGTAGGGGGTAAGAATGTGCCCATTGATTGACTCCAAAGCTTGGGCATTCCAGCGTGGCATGCCTTGGATCGGAATATGTTAGTTGCCTGATTCGTCGTAGCGTACTCATAGACGCGATGAATAAACCTGTTCCACTTTGGTACAGATTTTCCATATAGGTATAGCTTTCTTCTTTTGCTAGCGCAATCTCATATGCATGTGTCGAGATTGTCACTATTCATCCTCTCCGGTCTCCGGGGATATACTTTGGGAAGAGCTCCTCCAAATATCCTCTGCGATGCTCGGAAACATCTGTACTTCCAATATTGTAGGCTGATTGTAGGGTTAGCCATTAACGCCCATCAATCCATCTCAAACTTTGCCGCTCCCTCTTCAGCCCAAGCTTCGAGCACAAAATCACCAGCTTCCACCAATCCAATAGGAGAGCTTTTCACACCCCCAATATCAGCTCCTTCCTTTTCCTTGCCCTTCTTTGATATCTGCAAGCTCGGTTCGGAGGGTACCCATGGCTGTGGATGTCCAATTGGCGGATCCGCCTCATCCCTCAATTCTATCGACAGTGTAAACGTACAATCTTTAGGTAACGGCTTCATTTTCCCTCCCAGGTAATCCAGCTTCCGAATCTTTGCGCGGAGCTGCTCTTCAATGTCAACGATGTCCGCCACTCCCGGAGCGTCGCCCTCGAATTCGGTGAACCTCTCTTTATGGTCGACGACTGGGAAACGGCTGATATCGAATAGGAATCGCTCGAGTACTTTGAGGTCGGGAGAGTATATTACTACGACCACCCGCTTGACTGCGTTGGCGGAGATTTGCGGCTCCAGCGCTTTGATGGATTCATTGATCCATTCGCACACTTTGGGGTGTCGGTTTTGGTGGACGGGCAGGTTGTAGGCACGAGTTGTGAGAAATGTGCTGTGGGGATACAGTTCGCGTATGTAGAGAATGGTGTGTATTGCGACGGTCAGAAAGTCCATCAAGGTTCTGTGGAGGGCGAGGGTGGTGTTGAGGATTGGCGGGGCTGGCGGTGGAGGGGCTGCCATCCTGAACACGGAGGATTCGTGATGGCGTCAATTAGCAATGCACTTGAGATGTCATCTCAGATGGTCGGTTGGAAAGTCACAATGTGATGTGTGAGTGTTAGTTGCAAGGTAGAATTAGCGCTGCGCGGTGGGAAGGTAGTGTCGTGTAGTGGCAGATAAATTTACTGACTATGATGTATTTCCCTCTCACCCAACCGTGTCGCGAGAAGTTGCTGCTGCTTCTCGCTCACGCGTATTCTCTCCTTAACCCAACAAACGCACCAATATTCACCCACATTAACCATAGCAATTTCTATCGCCTAGGAAGAGACCCTTCCAACCCTCTCCGACATTAATATCCGACCTCAATTCCCTCCATCCCTACCTGGATACACTACCAACCTCCACATCCAATTGCAGTGCGAACAACCTCCCAAAGCTACCCCACTCGTGGAGCTGGTCAAGATGGCACAAACCATGGAGGACCAACTTCTACAACTCCTGCGCGATACGCAGTCGGCGTCTGAAGGACCGCGCAAGCAAGCCGAATTGACTCTACAGCAAGCCCAGAACAATTCAGCCTTCCCTGGCAGTCTGGCCGCCATCGCCAGCCATGTGTCGGTCGCACCAGAAATCAGGCAGAGCGCCCTGTTGATATTGAGAACGTTTGTGGATAAAAATTGGAGTGGACACGATGAGAAGGGCCCAACCATCCAGATTGATGAGACGGTCAAGGAGCAGCTGCGGGTGCGAATGCTGGAGTTGGCGACATCTGGAGATGCCGATAGAAAGATCAGAAGTGCGGCAAGGTGGGTGGCTTTTTGATAGCTCCAACAGGCTGGAGAACTGCGCTAACACAGTGGGCGCTAGCTATGTCGTCAGTAAAATCGCCAATGTCGATTTTCCTGACCACTGGCCATCTCTACTTCCAGCATTACTGCACCTCATTCCTAATGCTTCAGATGCACAATCACATGGTGCCCTCAAGGTACTTTCCGGCTTGGTGGAGGATTCTCTGAGCGAAGACACATTCTTCACAGTTGCGCGGGATATCAATAATGTGGCATATGAGGTGGCAGTCAATGTTAATCGGAAAGCGTCCTTGCGAGCAATGGCGATTTCGATTTTTCGCAGTACATTTGATATCATGGATATGGTCAAGGATGAGCATGGACCTGAGGTCAAGGGGTTCGCAGACGAGGTCATCAAGGCATGGCTACCCTTTTTCATGGACGTTTTGAAGAAACCATTATCTACAAGACCACCCGAAGATGACAACAGCGAAGTGGCCTTGGAATGGAGAGGTCTTGTTCTGATTAAGCTACAAGTAGTCAAGACTTTGATGAAGATCAAGATGGTTTTCGCACAGATTCTTCTCCCACAAAGCCCTGCTCTGTTTACTGCCACATGGGAGGAACTCTCGATGCTCCAAAGTGCATACAAGGATATGTATGTGGACGACAACGAGCAAGGACGTCTTGAAGATGCCGACGGTTTGCCATACACCCTTGACTTCTTAGTATTGGAGGAACTCGACTTCTTCTCGTCTTGTTTAAGAGCACCACCCGTCAGAGAAGAGCTTCAAAAGCAATTGCAAAATAATTCCAGTGTTGCGGCCACTCCTTGGGTAATGGATGTTATGAAATTAGCTGTGGGTTTTGCTCAGATTTGCAAGGAAGAGGAGGACCTTTGGGATATTGATGTCAACCTCTTCTTGGCGGAAGAAACTTCAGTTACAGCAAACTATACTGCAAGAACCGCTTGTGGAGACTTGCTTGTCAAGTTGGGCGAGTGGCTCAACTTAGGTGCCATGGAAGGGTTGCTCGCGTACAGCCAAGCTCTTTTTTCCTCTGAAGCTGCCACGTGGAGAGATAGGGAGGCTGCATTGTACCTTCTCACTCAGCTAACCACCGATTTCCTTGATCTTAGCAAAGAAATTTCGCCAGAGATTGCTCATGCATTTTTAGGCCTCATTGACTATGCAATTAACAGACCGGAGGAGCCTTTGTTGAAGGCTCGAGGATACCTTGTTGCTGCTCTTCTCGTTCAGTATCTTCCAGATGTTTCTCTTGGTCTTCTTGACCGCACGATTGGTGGTGTCAATGGCGAAGAGGATGAAGTTGTCAAGGTGTCTTGCATTAGGGCACTGCGGGGATTCATCAAAGCTCACACTGTACCGGCTGACAGACAAGTTCCAATCATTACAGCCATATCCGAATTCCTATATGCAAAAGATCTTACCGATCTCGAGGACTCGGATGATCTTCTTGTCACATTGGTGGAAACCTTACGAGATGCCATTATCTTGGACCCAAGAATTGCCATTGCGAGCGAAAGCACAGCATTGGATCTTCTTTTCTTACTCGCAAAACATGGTGCCTCAAATTTCCAACTGGTCATGTTAGTCAATGAGTGCTTCGAAGATGTGACGGAATCACTTGCCGTAAGTAATGAGGGTTATGTGGCATTATGTGCAAAGGTGTTGCCTTCGTTGACGGGAGCATTTGATGTCGGTGGTATGACGGGTGATAGTCCTTTAATTGAGGTAAGACTTGCAACACTCTGGGGCATGACGTTACTGACACTTTAATAGCTTGCGGCAGAGTTACTTGCTGTACTCACTGAGAAAGGATCAGAACCCCTTCCACCAACCTTTGTTGCTTCTGTTCTCCCAAAGCTTAATCGTTTATTGATGGCGACTACAGAAGGAGGAATTTTGAGACCTGGTGTCGAATCTTTTAAATTTATGCTCATGCATGATCACCAACAGGTATTTGCTTACAAGGATGAGACAGGACGATCAGGTCTCGAGTTATGTTTGGTCATTATTGATAAGTTACTCGGACCTACGATCGAAGATAATGCGGCTTCTGAGGTTGGCGGTCTGGCGGCTGAGCTTGTCGAAAAGGCAGGCCAGGAACGATTGGGGCCTTACCTGCCACAACTTTTACAAGCCGTTGCATCAAGACTTGCTACTGCAGAGGCGGCACCATTCATTCAGTCATTGATTCTAGTATTCGCCAGATTATCGCTACTTGGAGCTCAAGACGTGGTGGAATTTTTAACGCAGATTCAGATTAATGGTCAAAGTGGCCTTCAGGTGGTTGTAAGCAAATGGCTCGAGCATTCGATAAACTTTGCTGGATATGATGAGATTAGACAGAAGTACGTATTGGACTTGCCTGAATTCGTAAATTAGTGCTAATCATATACAGTGTCATCGCTCTGTCGAAATTGTATAGTTTGAATGACCCCAGAGTTGTTCAAACTATGGTCAAGGGTGATCTGATCATTCCAACTAGTAATAGGATTATGACCAGATCACAGGCTAAATTGAGTACGTTTCACTTCAATGACTCCAACTGTTCTTTGCTAACAAATCTCCAGATCCAGATCAATTCACAATCATCCCCGCGCCCCTCAAAATCATCAAAGTCCTCATCGAAGAACTCCTCTCTGCTTCGGGACATCAAAACGCCGCCACCGCCGCAGCCGCCGCCGCCGAATTCGCTGACGAAGAAGGCGAAAACGACGACTGGGAAGACTTACCCAACACTCTCGACCTCGGACTCGGTGCTACCAAGGCGGATCTCATGGCCTACGCCAACGAGGGATCGGCGAATTTCCTCCGCCAGAAGGACGATGAGACGCAGCAGTACCTGGTGGAATTCTTCCTCAAGGCGGGGAGTGAGAATATTGCGGGGTTCAATGAGTTGTATGGCGCGTTGACGGATGAGGAGAGGGGGAAGTTGAATGAGGCTGCTGGACAGAGTCAGGCGCAGGTTCAGCAGCAGCAGGCGCTTCAACAATGAACGTTGACTTTTGTGAGGGTTGAGGATTGGATGGGTTTTTTGGTGAGCCGGGGAGGATGGGATGCGGTGGGGTGGGGATGTGGTATTAAGATACTCTAGAGACGACTTTTATCTCGAATAGATATTTGACCCCCTTGTGAAGCTTGTGGATATCATAATATGGTGCGTGCATGCGTGCGGGGAAAGGCCTTTTGGGGTATGCGGTATGGTATGGCATGGTATGGTACATAGATTCGTGGATTCGTGGATGTGTGGGTGGGGTGTGTGAGAAGATAGAGTAGATCAGATGACTATTCCAGATACCTTCTTTTAATTCTCCCAAACAAGAAACACACATACATACCTTTCGTACAGTACAGTAACTTTCAGCGTCTCCTGATTATGAGCTTTCCTCTTGATGTAAGATGTAAGAGTATATTTTTGTAGGTTGTAATGACTGGATATTGATGTAGACTAAAACGTGTGAGGAGTGTAGCTAGTTGTAGGTAGGTAGGTAGGTAGGTAGGTTGGTAGGTTGGTAGGTATTTACCACTTGTCCATTACTCCCCCTTTGCTACTTTTATGGTTATGGTTATGCTGGCTAGACGGTGAGTATGGTGGATGGCTATAGTAGATAGCTAGGGGGGGTGGATGGTGTGTTACTAAGTGGTACTGTTACTCTTCCTCTCAACATAATCAACATTACCTTTTTTTGTAGTTTGTGGTTTTGGGGTTAGAGCAGGTGGGTCACGTGGGGTCTCACCACCCGACTAAAAGCATTTATAAGAGGGTCTGAAACTGAGATAAGGCTTACCTACTTACCTAGAAGGAAGAGAAGTGCTACGAAATGGAAATCGCTAGAGTCTAGAGTGGTATCTGGAAGAATAAGAGGATAAATCCATTGCGATATTAGAAAGGAAGTAGAAGAATGTGGAATGTGTGTTTTGGTAAAGTCAGGTTTATTTGGTACTATGTAGAAGGATTTCTCCTTTTTGTGTGGACCCTGGAACTAAACTCCTGTCCAGGTTTCACGCGGAGATTCCCAATTCCATTAGGTACTACCTATTTCTATCCCATGCTTTTATGCCCCCAGAGCAGAACTAACCATCCCCTGTCGTCCCACTGGCCTATGTCGAAGGATTAAGCCTCTTGTGTTGAGCTCTGATATGGAGGAGTAGCTGTTCCGTCGCAACTGTTGGTGTCCTAGTAAGGGCCTCGTCGATCTTTGTCACCAAGGTTGAAAGGGGACAGCGACTGTGGCCATTATAGGAGGTGATGTATTGAGGGTTACCATATTGTTCCAAGGGAAACTTTAGGGCTTTGAGTTGTGATTGTAGTGTCACAACACTGTCATTTACCTCCTCCGCCTTCTTCTTTGGCCATAGATTCAAGCCTCTTAGACTCAAGAGAAGGGCGCCATAAGAGAGTATATCACAAGACATTTCTTGTTGGGAACACAAACAAGTGTAATATGGCAGAATATGGAATTTCTGGTGATTAATATAATTATTATAGGGGGAAAGAGATGTCCAGTGCGCTGAGAGTCTCTCAAGGTTGTCCGCAAGCGTGTAAGGAACTTCGAGGATCAGTTCAATTTCTCTCAAGCGAGTCTTGAGGAGGTTCTCTATAGCCGTGTAAGTGGAATATTCGCAAAGAATGCCTAGGTAGCAACATACCAGTGTTTAAAGGGGGTATCGGGCCAGCCAAAACTTTTCCTCAGCTTTCGCGTCCAACTTTCTTGATAAGGCCCCGGCCAAGTTTACAAAGACCTCTTCACGGCCAAAAACCCATGCAATAAACAGCCATGATTCCTGTCCATCCTTCATGGACTCGGTGGCTTCGTCGGCAACCCAGCTCTGAACCCAGGGCATGATAAGTTCAACGCAGTCATATAGATCAACAAGGACCGCAACTGCCAACAACTTGTCAAAGGGCAACTTGGTGGGGATATTGGCAAACTGAACGTGTGCGATCTTGAGCAGAATGAGCAAAGCCTCGGAATCGTCCTCCTGAAATTCCAGTGGTGATTATCCAGGCTCTTGAATGTTGTACTCCTCAGTTGGGTTTATGTCGTCGTGACCTTGTACAGAGGTGATGCTTTCTGCGCTTGAGAATTCTGATGTGGGTGTCTCACTTCTTGAGGTTGGCACAAGGCGACTAAATGGAGGCGTAATGAATTTCTTCCAGACGGGACTAGCTCTGCTCATGGCAGCTGAGGACACTTGACCAACAACAAGCTGTCCTTCGTGGGTGACAAGAATGGTTCGGTCGGCATCTGGGAAGCTAAAGGGCGAAGAGAGGTTGGGATTTAATGAACTCATGACTGTGGCTTTGTTTGGTGGTAGAGTGCTGGCGTTGTAATAGAGAAACCGCGTGAGATGTGTTGCTTTGTTCTCTTGTATGAGATGTTCTGACAAAAAAGGTGGTAGGTGGAAGGTGGAAAAGTCTATCGTACAGAGACTATGTCAAGGTATGGCTAGGAGCGTACAAGTACAAGTCCAGAATACAGTTGAGGTTGCTGTTGAAGATCAAAAAGATGGTAGGGAAGACCACTATTTTACTTAACAACACCCCTGTCACATACCCCCTCCTGCTCCCTCCTACCCCGCATTCTCTGAGTCACACGCTAGCATAGCAGCATGCTCTGGATAACTCGTAGCCATGTTCACTAGGTCCGTGTCCTCACAAAGCATTCTCAAGGAATGATTTTTGTTGGCAGCAAGGAGTGAACGTGCTGAGGGGGGCAGGATGTTTATGCCCTATTCTAGTAGCTCCGCTGGTCCAAGCTTTCTGGAGAGGGGTATTTTGTTGACATGTCCTATTCAATCTTTCCTTGTATGCTCTAACACAATTGATTCACTATTAATCGTGAAGTTGTTGTTCCTGGGAATTGGTCTCTGGGTGAATTTGCCTGACATATGGCTACATACTACGTCATTCTATTAGCGTGCTACACTCCTTTGGGACTAGTGCACTCCGTTGGTAGTGTGAGTACTCAGCTAGCTTTGTAGCTTGAATAACATAAGCCTTCTGCCCTGAGCACCTTCCTGGAGTCAACTCACTTTACATAGCTATATTTGTACAAGGTAATATCACTTGCATTTACAGATAACTGGTGAATTAGATGAAGTGCAATGTGCTAGGACTCTGAATTATAACTCATATATATAGGCAGCTAAGATAGCATGCACTAATTAGGTAACTACAGCCAGACTCGTTGCTTCGTTCTAAGAGTTTGATATTACCTCTGTTGCGTTTGACATGCTCCAAGTGATCTATCCCCCAAACCGTACCATCTCTTCTTTGTCTTTTTATTTATGATATCAGCTCACAAATCCAGAGACACATGTGGAGATGGCGAATAGGAACAACCACCAGACATTCATATTTGTTTATTACTTCGCTTAATTTTTCCCCCTTGTGTTGCTTACGTAATATGTAAACATCCACCTCAACCTGAAATGCTTAAAAGGAAAGCACTGATAGGGAAGGATTATCTTGAGTTGTAGTACATTATGTTGACCAAACTCAATGTGAAGGCCAAAATGTTGTACTTGCCAAGAACCATTTATCGGGAGTGAAAGTTCTCATCAAAGAGTCGTAAGCTGGTGCCGCTCTCTGCGCTCATCGTGCTCATCATTTGGTAGTATGATAACTGTCCAATTACAATTAGTATTAGTTTGACATTTTGCTGATTAGCTTTGAAGTAACATGGTCCCCCAGCTAATTTACAACGGGTAGCCAGGTACCCGTAAAGTTGGTTCTTGTTTATACAAAGTAAAATAATTCGATTATTCCGTGACCGTATTAAGTCGTACACCTTATGCCCTCGCCGTCGCATATCCTATTTACGAATACCCTTACTATCGCTGTTGTGTCGTAATTACACCCTAATAAAATGATAAGGCTCTCGTCTTTTCGACCACTCTAGGACCTCCACGTCCGAATAGTTTAGTCGAGACTATGATTTCTTCGAAAGAAATCTCTTCATTTTACAAAAAGCTAAGAATAATGAGCATATAATGTTTGGCGACGGCAAGGTGGCGACGACGACGATCGTGGTATATTACTTCGCACTGACCTGGGGCGGCTTTACGGGTACCTAGTAACCCACTGGAATTTGGCTGGGGTCCTGGTCACTTCAAAGCCGCGTAGCAAAATGTCAAAGCCGTATAGCAAAGGGCTTAGTTTGACTAGAGACAACAACTGGAAATATGGCAAAGCAGGCAGGCAGTTCACGTCAAGAGGATCTTTACATGTGGTCAATAAAGTTTAGGCAATCAAATTTCTAGATTCGTACTGCATTGAATGATCCTCTCACCACTCTTGAGCAATCAAGTTGGTAAGCGATATATCCATTAGGGTTGTTAAATCTGATTTTAGATGATTTATAAATAATTTATTTTCCTATAACTTAAGTTAAGTTAACTTAATTTATAATAATTCAAGATTTTGACTCTTATATTAGATCTTGGCAATAAATATATAGCATATAGGGGGGTGTGAATTTAGGGCAAATGAGGGTATAGATATAAACTAATTTCACCAAAAGAATCTACGAAAACGTAGGTATATAAACTAGTACTTAATTTGAAGAATTATCTATAAAGTTAATCTTCGTCGTCTATATCGTCTACGCTCGAGTTATTAAGCTTAAAAACACTATCCTCCTCGTCGTCGTCGTTATTGTCTTCTTCTTCTATTTATATGGGCGCTCTTCTAAGTTTAATAATTCTTTCTTTAGGGACTTCAGGCTATTAGAATCTTTCGCTCCGAGATTACGTAAAATGCCACGTGACGCATATAATTACAAAATAATTTATATGAATTAGAAATAATTTTACAACCCTAATATCTATAAATATTGCTTGTAGCTTGAATCTTAATTATGAGTGCTTGCGCTGTGTGTCTCAGTTGCAATTTTGTGGACTCAGTGTTCAGGGGAAAGGTCCCATAATTATAACAAATATTGGTCAACCTGAAGAATGGTTGGTAAAAAAAACCTGTATTATTCAATGTGACTTTAGTTCTGCTCTCGGCTTCATTTCGTGGTCATACACAAATGATAGCTTGAGTTAATAGCATTTGAATCTGTTCTTTGCCATAATGTAGAAGTGTTGTTCAAGATTAGATAGCCTATTTTTGTCACTTGTAAGAAGGAAGATTGCAAAACGTTACGTATTACTTGTATAGTCATTGATGGGCTCAATGTATGATTCTAGTCGTATATTTGGATCCTCTGACTGACCGCGCCCTTGCGATTAACATTATCTGAATTTACTCGGCAGTATTGTGTACGGCAGAACCTATTGTCGGTAGGTCAACCAAAGAGATTGGGAATTTTAGGTTAGAATTTCTTCTTATTTTACGAGGATTATATATGAATACATACCTTGACTCATAAATCTCACTACTTTCTTCCTAGCGATATTAGATATTAGATATATTAGTAACCGGTACCAAGCGAGCATAAAGATTAGTAACCTCACAATTGGCTTTAAATTTGGCATGCAAAGTGATAACTAAGTCGAAACAAAATTTAAACCTATATAGTATAGTATATTAGTGTAATTTTAAAGTGTTCTATATACTATACTACGTAGTAAGTTTAAGTAATAATTCCCGGTAGTAGTATATTAGTGTAATTTTAAAGTGTTCTATATACTATACTACGTAGTAAGTTTAAGTAATAATTTCCCGGTAGTAGTATATTAGTATAATATAATAGCAATGTATATATAAAATTCGAGGGATAGTTAGTAACTACGGAATACGGAAGGAACTATTTTAATTATGTTTTAAGTTTTTGGAATGATTCTTTTCGATGCTTCGAACTAATTGTTGATGCCTATCATTAATTTTGAGGCTAGTCCCGTCCCGATTGCTCTTATTGGCACGGAATTGCAGTGAGGTCTTTTTACTTTATTATTGTATTTACACAAATTTCTACCGGCAGGAAAGAACTGATTTCGGTACTTTTTTTTTTTGTAGACTAAGAATGGTCAAATTCGCAGAAGTATCCTCTATATCTACTCTTTTATCCATCCAACCACTCACACACTCAAACCCCTTCCCTCCCCTTCCCTCTACCAGAATCTCTAACCTCCAACCTCCAACCTCCAATCCAATCCAATTCCAAAAAATACCATCACCCACCAATCTAGGTACATTCTACCTTCTACATTCTACCTTCTACCTTCTACCTTCCCCACCTACCCCAACCACAACCCCCCTCTCCAATTCCTCTCACCTCCATCCCCCTCTCCAATTCCTCTCCCTCTCACCTCCATCTCCCTCTCCATCCCCAATCACCAAACCACACCAAAGCGAACTCCACCAGTAATAAACCTAAGTATAAAAGTAATCTACAAGAACATCCACAAGAACCCCCAATTTACTCAACCCGCTTATCTAAATGAACACGAGTACATAGGTAGGGTAGTGCTATCTACAGTATCTAAAGACACCCACTCCCACTCATCCCTCCAACCTAACCCAACTAAACCAAGCTAGCTAGCTAAGCCAACGTAACAGAAAGGAAAGGAAAGGAAATCGAACTACGATCTGCCGAAGAAAAAAAGAAGGTCTCGTGACGTATTACTCTATTCTGATCTAGGTAGCTAGGTACTCGTAGCTACTCTAAAAACCAACCTTAGCGTAGCCCAGCCCAGGCTAGACTAGACTATGCGATACTACGCCATCTAAACTCAAGAGAACAGAAAGCCAGACAGAGATACCCGTCACCTAGCTAACACCAAGCAAACTTCTCATTAGCAACCCACTCCACAGCATCCGGTCCGCCTTCCCCATCTCCATACCACATCAAGCTGGGGATACTATCCGTCTCTCGCTCTTCGGACTGGTACGCCACACGCGCACGCGCGAGAAGGTTCTTTACTACGTCACTCACATTCCACAGTACTACACTGTTCAAATCCCACTTCGCGGCTTCTTCACGGGCGATGTTCAGGACGCTAGAGAGCTTTTCGGCGTTGGATGCTGAGTCCGTGGAGTCTTCCATGACGAGACGGAGGATGTAGAATTTATCCCCGAATACGCGGGTGAAGATGATCCATACTCTAGAGCCGGGGTCGCCGGTGGAGATTGCGCCGTTGATGGTTGGGAGTGGGCGGTTGGGGAAGAGTTTCGAGGCCATGAAGGATTCGCGGAGGTGGTGCCATTCTATTGTTTGTGCATCTGGATAGATGGCCAGAGAGGGCTTGTTGGTGGATTTTGCGATTTTTGGAACGAGTGCTTTGAGGGAGGTGCAGTCTTGAGCAATAAGATCTGGTAGCTCTTGTGATGTGAGAGGTGTAGCTGTTACCGTTGTCCCGTTTGCAGTTCCATTTGTAGTCCCATTCGTGGTACCTGTATCATTTCGCAGGGCTGGGATGGATATATGAGAACTGGCGAATACCTTCCATCCCAGGCCAGAGTAGAATTTCTTTCCAATGTCCGAGTACAGAATACTGAATGGACATTCCGCAATATCTTTTTGATGCGTTCTTAATATTTCGCGTACCAAAGATAACATACGGCCTGCGTAGCCCCTGCCTCTATAGTCTGGAGAACAGAAAACTGAACCAATTCCATGGGTAATCACTTCTTTTGTTGTACCATTTGGATATGAAATAATGGCATGGCGCCGTAAGGATTCGCAGGAGGAGAGAATTGGTCGGGAGTTTTCAGGGAGGGTCTTATCGGTAAGAATCCAATCTGTGAAACATGGTCAATGGGACTGAGACCTGCAGACTTGCCGAGTAAAAGGGGGGAAGGTGGAGGTGGGGTTGTATGGAGGGGTAAATGGGGCACAAAGACGAATACTTACGTGTGATTCCTCCATCGCGGGTCTGTGGCATGTTGGAGAGATGCTCTTCTCGTTCAAGATAGTCTGGCAGTGAGAGATTTGTTCCCCAGTTCTTGGAGTTGAGAGTCCAAATTTGTAGTTGTTCTGCCTTTGTAGGATATGCAAGGCCAAGATTGGGAAATGTGGACAAAGGAAGGTCTGCCATTTTGGTTGTTGGGAGTTCTGAGGAGTAGTCTGGAGTTGTCAAGAGGGGTCTAGAATTGTCTAGTGTCTAGTTGATAGCTGGCCAGAGGGATGGGGGAGGGTTAGTTATGTAGGTTTCTTTATCTTGCAGATACGAATGTATAGGTGGGTAGGTTGTGGGTAGTGAAAGGGCGGTATCAGGAGTTGAAGGGACAGAAATAGAATGAATGAAGGAATGATAGAGATAGTAGTACTTAAGCTCTGGGGGATCCCAAGTCAGCCGATACTATTTCTGATGTCAACTCAACTACGAGTGACTTGACAGAACTCACCTACAGCATATACAAGCATTGCCATTGAATAAAGACGACGAGTCAGCCTGGTCTTGAGGGGCAGTGACAGTAGTAGAGTGGTGTCGTTCCGACGCTCCCCATGGTTGTGGGCATGGATTTAGCCGGGTGGTTTGAGAAGGGTCACCATCTTTGGAGTAGCGTCAGCCTTGGGTTTCGGCTTCTATCGGCCTCTATCGGCCTCTATCGGCCAAAGACAAGGGTTCACCGCCAAGCCATGGACGTTGGCAGCGGGGCACAGGGATTGGCTGATGGTTTGAATGCAGGTGGATTAACTGATAACTCCGTACCTAGCCAGCCCCTGTGGTGCTAGGTTCATGCGAGGCTAATCGTGCAGGTGTATATGATAGCAGGGGAGGTGTATATCATGGAGGAGGAGAGGGGGAGGGGAAGGGGGTGCGCTAAAACCTAACAGAACTACCTATACACAGCTCTAATGCAGCCCTGGAGCCCTGGAGCCTTGGAGCCTTGGAGCCTTCTCCATACCAGTTGGTACGTGGTACGTGGTACGGCTACACGACTTCCGCTAGATACCTACTTGGTCTACGTGGTACCCCCCCTCCCCCAACCCAGACCCACCAGCAAGTGCTGCTGGGCTGTACTTCACTCCTCACTTGTCTGCTAATTGGCCAATCACGCCTGCCCGCTCTCTGGTTCACAGCACCACGTGACCATCACCCTGAATGGGTCGGGTCAGTGCTTGCCTAATCTGGATTCAATCTAGATGGGAAAGCGCGAGGCTATGAACAGTCTGTCGCATCACCACTCACGAACTCTCCAGTACATCTTGTCACGAAGACACCATCCTCTGAGTAGAGCGTCTTAGATCGCAACATGACATCAAGTCCATCCACTCTACTTCTACTCACCAACGCCACAGAAGAGGTAAGTCAACGATCTTATATCTTCCATCCTACCACCCCAGACGTTGTCCTACCCCCGCGACCATATACTTGGTACCCATTCGCAAGGCTGAACTCGGAGTCTCGAACTCGACGTCGAAGTCGAACTCGAACGCGAAAACATTCATATTCACATTTACGTCGATATACAACAAGATCTTGTTCACCAGCTTGTTGTATTCCACGTGCACCACTTCTAGAAATCTAGAAATCCCCCAGAAATTTACAACTGAGGCTCACCATGGAAGACTTAGATCCTGCGCCGGTTCCAGCTCCTGGAAAGACCAACTCCTCCACCAAACGCGAGGTTCTTCGCAAAATCATCAACCCCAAACGAATTCTCAGACTCGCTCATCGGGCCAAGACACCCACACCAAAACCAGGACCATCCCCATCGGCAAGCAAGAGACGCCCTCAAGTGTTGAGTATTGCTTCTCTACTCACCCTGAATGTCTCGGTAGAGTCAGCAGCCATGGATAATGTGGTTGATTTGGTCAGCGATAGCGATGATGATGAAGTTGAGATCAAATCAGACAGCCCTATCATCATTGATGATCCTTATGTGATTCCTTCCTCACCACCACGTGCTCCAAATACGGTACCGCAAACACCTCTACAACAACAAGATGCACCAAATGGGTACATGAATGGCGCTCTTCCTGGTATCAATCAAATGTTACAGCCCCCCAATGGAAATGCAGCAGATGGTTGGCAAAGGTTTGGCGATTACGTTCTGGATGAAGACTTGAATGATGAGATGATTGCCCGAATGTATGGACCTCAAGATGCACAAGTTGGACTGGAAGCAAATCCATGGGTCCTTGAACAGCCCCAAGGTCCTCCTGTACCGCCTGCGCAACCCGATCCACCCGCTCAGCAATTTCAACCAGAGGGAATAGAACCTCAACGAGAAACTCGCTTAGGTTGTATCGACGCTGTTCTTGCCATATTTCCAGACATTTGCCGAGACCACGTTGGGAAGTTGTATGAGACGATCAGTTACTCGTCTGACCTGATCATTGCTCACATTCTCGACAAAACTGAAAAGGGCTCACCATATCCCAAGGCAAAGGATATGCAAAAGACTCTCAAGAGAAAGAGACAAATCACGGAGGAGGATGCGGCAACTTTGAAGTATGGAGCGGCTGATTCTCCTGAGCCGCTGCGGGAAATTCATGCCGACATGTAAGTTTGACTACAATTCCAAAGGCGTGAGCATTTGATGTGATGTTGGCGACTATCTTCAAGTCTGCAAAAACTTCATCCTTACCAAGTACCCACATAGCAAGATTATTCAAGTGACAATGAAGACTAACAATTCCTAGACGCACCTTTCTGAGCTTCGAATTCGCATTAACCCCTATGAGTTTTATCGATGCTACTCTCAACCAAACTGGATATCGATTGTTCCATGCCTATCGAGTCCTTGAGCAAGCACAGAGAGAATGGGAACCCCAGAACCCGCCATATATGAAGCTGAGATCTCAAAGAAGAACGCAAGATAAATTCTCAGAACGAACCATTCAAAAGAATCTCGACTCTGGTCATGACGAGAGAGTCAGAGTAGAATTCTACCTTGAAATACAGGCTGCAAGAAAAGTCAGAGCAAAAGCCGACGCAGTTCGGGAAGCTCAACGATTGCATGAAATCGAGGAGGCAGCCAATGAGCAAAGAGCGCAGCGTGATGGAACCATGTCAGAATGTGGATGCTGCTTTGGAGATTATCCAATGAATCGAATGATCCATTGCGATGGTGATACTCTACATTGGTTTTGCAGAGGCTGTGCGAAAAAGATGGCAGCGACAGAAATCGGCGCTTCCAAATATGAGCTCCATTGCATGTCGATGGACAGCTGTCAGGCTGGGTTTTCCAACGATCAACGATTATTGTTTCTTGATGAACACACATTGGTCGCATTGGAACGAACTGAACAAGAGGCTATGTTGCGAATGGCTGGCATTGAGAATCTTGCAAGTTGCCCTTTTTGTCCCTTTGCAGCCGAGTACCCACCCGTGGAAATCAACAAGGAATTTAAATGCCAAGCACCAGATTGTGAGAAAATCAGCTGTCGACAATGCAAACTCGAAACACATATTCCAAAGAGTTGCGAAGAATCTGCAAGAGAAAATGGGCTTTCAATTCGTCGACAGATTGAGGAGGCAAGATCTGCAGCACTGATCCGGAAATGTAACAAGTGTGGTACTTCTTTCATCAAGGAGGAAGGCTGCAACAAGATGGCATGTACCAAATGCGGGAATATACAATGCTACGTTTGTTCCAAATCATGCGGCTACGATCACTTCAATGATCCACACCGGGGAGGTAAACCAGGTAACTGTCCATTGTTTGAGGACGTGGAGGCGCGTCATGATGAGGAAGTCGGAAAAGCCGAGAAGGAGGCTCTTGAAAAGATACGAGCTGAACATCCTGAATATACGGAGGAGGACTTGAGAATCAGGTTTTCTGACGAAGTGAAGAAGGATGAAGAGCGTAGAAAGTCTAGACATCCTGGGATGGCAGGTGTACCAATGGGTCATCCCGGTCTGCAAAGAGCAATACATGGTTAGTTGGTAGTTTTCTTTGGTTGTCTTGGGACATGGGCGGCTGTATATTTAGCAACAGAAGCGTTCATGATTTTGGATTTCTACTGTGTTAAATTTTGTACAGCTAGCTATTTAGACTATGAAACTTGCCAGTTTCTATGGTGTCCTAGTTGCTGATTTTTTACAAGAGCACATTCAGCAAGAAATGGAAACTCTCCGAGCTAGGATTCGTGCAGATCGTCGACAAAACCAAGGCAAGTCTATAGTAGCACAGTCAGCCCCGCATACACCTTCTTCTCATTATGTCTTCTGAACTTTCACCTGTTACTCATCCCCTGCTTTTCAACGGTTATTCACATGAGACTGGGTGAGTGAATACTAACTCTACTTCTATAGCTATGCAAGGACCTCGGGTTCTGGATCCTATCGCCAATAATAATGGCGGAATCAATCCAATCTTCGACATGATCTTCCCGAACGGCCCCCATCACCATCCAGAACGACTGCCGCCACCGGATTGGGCTTTACCTCAACATGATCGGTTTCCTGGGCCGTGGCAACAAGATATGCCTCTACCAGCGGATCGAGAGATTGACCTCTTCCAATTCCATCGACATCGAGCTGCTCCACCCCTTGGTCGGCCTCCTTTCATCGCACCTCTTCAAGGACCTAATCCACGCCCCGCTCAACTCGGTTTCGTTGAAGACCCTTTTGGACAACCTGATCAACCTCTTTTCTTACCTGCAGGGGGTCAAGCATATGTTCAGCAAGTCCCACAACCTGGATTGGGTCAAGCCTATATTCAGCAACCTGCTCCACCTCCCGTTCATCAGGAGTTCATGGTCCACCCAGTACCTCATTTCAACGCGCCAGTTCAACCTATTCAGCAGCAACCTCAAGTCGCACAACCGCCTCGCCGTATAGGACTCTTTGGAAATATCCCTAATATCGTATCTCGACCACGTCACGCTAATGGGCATGTAAGAGAACAGCCACAGAAACGAGCTGTCATCAACTATCAGCCTGTACCAGCACCAGCACCAGTCCCAGCTCATCTTCCCAGAGGTAACGGCGCACATGTTTTCAACCGTAAGAAAGCCTCAGTTCATTTTTCAAATCAAAACCAAAATCACAACCAAAACCAAAACCAAAATCACAGCCAAAATCAAAATCTCAACCAACACTTCCCCGTCCAGGCCCCCCTCCCACCCGAACACCACCAACAAGCCCTCATCCAATCCATCGAGCGCCGCTACGACGACCTCACCGCCCTGCACCCACCACCCCGCTCCCACGCGGAGATCCTCCAGCTCCGTGCCGATCGTGAAGATTTCTCGGGGAAGATGAGTGATTATATGTTGTTGTATCCTGTGGGAAATCGGGTTTATGATGTCGCTGCGGAGGCGGTTAGGGGGTTGGAGGTTTGGGTGGAGATGGAGGGGATGGGTGGGTATGGGGATGTTAAGGAGCAGGAGGGGGATGTGGATGTTGAGATGGGAGAGATGAATGAGGTGGATGAGGAGGGGGGAATCGATGGGATGGCGGGTGGATATGAGGAAAATGGGGATGAAGAGGAGTGGAATAGAGAAGTTGAAGAGGCGGCGATGGAGAAGTGGGTTGGGGGAATTAAAGAGATAGTAGAGGAATGGGTAGAGGATGAGGATGAGTGATAGCATTTCTGAACATGTTATTCAGGGGATTAAGGTGGGAGTGGCCAGAGACGATCATCCAACGCTCTGGGTTTGATGATTTGATGATTTGATACGAGTACCTCTCTTGGGAAAAAGGAGGTAGAGGGAATTGTAAAGGGAAGGAAAAGGGCGAAGGGTATAGGTATGGGTATGGGTATGAGTGAGTGAGTCAGTGAGTGAGTGAGGGGGTATACCGAACCTCGCTTTGAGCTTTGAGTTTTGTGTTGTGAATTCTACGTTTTTTTTTTTCTTTTTTCGTTTTTTTCTTTTGTACTTTGATGTTTGGTGTTTGGTGTTTGGTGTTTGCGCGAGATATACCCCTCTTTTTTTTTGAGATTGCGGTTGAGGTTGGGGTTTAGGTTGAGGTTGGGATTATAGGTTGAGGTTGGGGTTGGGGTTATAGAGGGGGGAGTGGAGGGTGGAGTGGAGGGTGGAGGTGGGAAAGGGGATGGAGATAGGTGGAAATCCAGAGGTGGATAGGAGAATAGGAGAATAAATAAATATGGAAATTTATATTATAAATTTGCATGCGTACATATAAATTTACTTGTGCATGGATATTTGTAGATATATATAAGTACCGGCGATCAGCGAAGACTCTTCTAGATATTCGTTGCGTAATCGGGAGGACTCTCTTTATTATTCGTTGCGTAATCGGGAAGATCTGGATTCTAGACGTTAGGTTAGTTTATCTGAGGTAGCTGATAAGTTTAAGACTTGGTAGATTTTGCCTTCGGCTTTTAATATATTTATACTTTTTCCTTCTTTTTAGGAAGTGATTGCTACATCTGTGCTTAATGGTGCTTACGTACTGAGTATGTGAGATGGGGTGGTGGTTAGTATTATAATATAGAGATAATAAGAGCCTTTTATGTAAGACCGCTAACTTTCCCCGAGCTCATCTAGATATTCGTGGAGCTGAAAGAGGCATAGATCATGATTTCGTCACGTTGTGGTTAAACTTAGTTTAGACGGAACTTTTAGCTACTATTGCTACGAATGTCGTTACTATGGTAGGTATTGCATCATAAACATCCGGTGATCAAAAATGAAATGGTGCTGCACTTACTTTAAATAAAAAACCTACACTTAAAATTAGTAAAGAGATATTTATATAATCTGATTTATATCCATCTAAGACTGGATTTAATTCTTTGGCTAGATCTGTTGCACCATGCGGAGTAATAGCATTTGCCAAATCACTAATGCTAGTTACAACATATATTCCATCTAAGTTCGTGGTACCCGAATTAGCATATAATAAACTAGTACCTAATAAAATAAAACAAGAACTTAAACCACCTAATAAAAAATAAGTCAGTCCAGCCCTAGTGGCTAATTCTGAATTTCGATATATTGTACTAAGTAAGTATA